TATTTTTGTGCGCATGTGCAACAAACATCCCCCATCCCTTGCAGACTCCGCCATCTTGCAAGTGCAGCGTGCGCACTGCAACCCCTGCAATCGATACATGCTCCACGGCGCATGTGCATATTATGTCAACCTCTGAGTAGCCATTGCATTCGGTCTGCCTTACATAGGCACTGTTTTCTTTATTAGTGGAGTGGTATCAATATTTAAACAAGTTCAAAATTGTAGGCGCGGTAAATGTCTTAATTGTTACTGTGTGAGTGCGTAAAGAAGACGGGAATTCGGAATACATATTTTACGTACCCCAGTTAGGTATGTATTTACAAATCTTTGGTAGTCTTGATGTAAATAGTGAGTGAGTTTTCATCGTCACCAGCAACCATTCAACCAAGTCCACTGCTAGACACAGACCTTCAACTCAAAACACCACATAGAGTCGCTCTGCTGATAAATAATAATAATGACAGCTGGTGTTCGACATTCGTATCAAACATTTCTGCCAAAATATTGCTATAGTCAAATGATTCTGAAACGACGAGTGGCAAAAATCTAAACTAATCCCAGTATAGATAGTAGCGCCCTCCTGTAAATGTCATAGTTATATGAGACACTTCAATGTTGTCCAACTTGGCAAGAATCTGAACTAATAACGCATTGATAGAAGCGCCCTCCTGTCAGTGTCATATTCCTGATTCTCAAAATGGCCGATAGATACGACGTGCGCATTGTAACTCGAAACTACACACATCACGCATGTGCTTTAAATGTCCCCCTGTATGTTGTTGGTATAATGGCGGCGGTCCTTGACTAGGATTGTTAATTTCTAGAAGCAGCGATGCCTCGCCTGTGAGTGAACATCGTCCCACCCCTCGCTGCGCTGTCCCGCGGCCATCTTGCAGATGCAGCGCGCGCAGTGCAAGCGCTAGACAGGAGGCACCTGTAGTCTGCATCGATTGAAGCTGGAGCCATCCGGGGCGCATGTGTATAACCCATTGCGCTAGTCGCTCGGTCGCCAGTGTTGTGAACTCGTGTTCGATTAAATATTTTGACTCTATGACATTCATTTACCTGATCTAGTCCAGCAAAGTTTACAGTACATTATAATTTGAAACGAAATGAAAACATACAGACAATTTCAAATCGCAATCAAACCATCAAATTATATTTTATTATAATAATAAAATTGATGCAAATAATCACTCAGCAAGTGAATAACTTCTTCTTAAAAGTGAAAACCACTCAACTAATAAAAGTCCGCGTGTGTACTCAAATATTAAAAATGGTTTTAAGTGTTTGTGTGAGTGTGTGGCTTAAACATATTTATGGGAGTTAATTGGTTTTGGTTGAAAGCTTTTTTGAGCTCAAATGGTATAGTTTTTGATATTTTTGCCACTTGTTATTGGCACTCCATTTATACCTATTATAAAAGTTCATTTGGAAATAAAATTTTTAGAACCAATACTTATAACAATCTTGCCAAAATGGTGGAATTCTATGTAACGTTTTACGTCCAAGTTACTATCGGTCCTAACACAATAGTCAATGCTTTGTTTTTAGCATCGTACTTCTTATTTCCTGCTCAAAGTTTCCGTCCTTACAGATCACAAAATAGCGGCAATGGGGTACTCTTTCCGCAGTACCCTCGCCACTTATTTGCAGCACGTGCAATGTTACTTATAGATACAGATGCAACGTTTCGCAGTATAGGTTCGAGGACCATGCATGTGCAAGAGATGTTGTTGATAATAATTCTGTCAAAATGGCGGCAAGCCGTGCCCCCTGATGCGGACGCTTGTCCTGCGTGCAGCGTGAGCAACACAACCACGCGACCATCTCTAGAGGGCCCCTCTGACTAGATCAGTCTTTCCCAAAGTGGGCGATAACGCCCCCTTGTGGGCGCTGCAGGCTTAAAGAGGGGCGGTAAGAGACCCAGAAAAAAAATCGGGACGTTGTGTAGAGGCTTGGGAGGCGTCATCTACTAGGAGGACTCTTAGACATCGACTGAGCTCGACTCTTGACTACAAAAATTGGGGGCGCTAAAAAATAATTTATTCTCAAAGTGGGCAGTAGACTAAATAAGTTTGGGAACCACTGGACTAGATCTTAAAGTCTGCGCAAAACTTTGTAATGTCCATTTAAGTCCACTGGTTTCTTCTTGTTCAATTGTCAAATACTCGATATAATAAAATAATTATAACACATAAGATTTATTGGTGTTAATTAGTAGAATAATAAATGTTGAATATTGATAAGTCGCGAGTGCATTTTCCAAATTGTTTATTATATGTGTAAATGAGGAGTGTTTTCCTCTTACAATTAGTATTGTTATTAGAATAAAATCCTTCCGAATTCCCACAAAAGGGGTGCCTTACGGCGTTGAATCCGTATATGTACTTCCAAAAAGTAGCGCCCAAGGCAAATAATTGGTACATCGTTTCCCATCTATTTCCAATATGGTGGCGATTCCCGTCCCTGGCTGGCAAAGCAATCGCTACAGCTCATATTCTAGATACGGCTGAAGGACATGCAGTACGCATGTGCATCAAATATTGTTAAGTTCTAAAATGGCGGCAGACCCTTAGTTTTTGCTGCGCATTCGAAACATATTTCATTCTGTTCTTTCGCAAACTAACGGCCATCTTGCCGATACATCGAATTTTATCGTCCATTTCCAAAGCGGTTGCAATTTCCATCCCCGGGCCGCGACCTGTGCGTCCTTTATGCAGCGCGCGCAGTGCAGTCGAGGCGCTATGGCCAGAACGCATGTACACGGTGCGTCAGTCTCTCAGTACAGTTTGAGCTCATAACACCTTAGCCAGTGCAAAAGTACAGTAATATTTGAAATAATATTGATTGTGTGTTTCGAGTAAAAGTACTTAAAATTTTATGTAATGCGTCTTCCTCTTTGCCTAGAGTTCTCGTCATTCTTGTTGATACCCTAAGATGCGCAATTAAGTCGCCATTTTCCTCCCTCTCACTTACGAAAGTTCTAGTTCGTCAAAAGATAGTGCGCAAGTCAGTTTCATATATTGATCGGTAATTTATTACGCACTCAAATAACCTTGATTGACACTGTCTGGCGCATCCCCGGCTCAAGCCGTACCTTATAAAGGTCCCAGGTACAGCGCGCGCAACTAATCAATAGGACGCCCTCTAGACTAGGTCTCACGACACAGGTGCGCTAGGTGATGCGACAGTCGTTCGCAACAGCTTACCCCGTTGACACGGATCATCTCACGTCAACTCGAAATGAAATAACAACAAAACAGAATCAGTGTTGAAAATACTTGAACTTTTAAACCGCGAGTGCTCTGTGGTCATCATGTCATGGCCTGAGAGGTGCTTGTAAGTATAATGGGCCTTTACCTTCACATTAAATGTGTAGTAGTGTTTCAGTTTCTCCTTTTTTCAATATCTGCATTATGTGTTTTTTGCTTCTGTCAAAAAGTGACACTTTCTTCCATTACTGGTGCTTCATTACAAATCTGTTTTCTTTTTCAAAACAGACCTTTTCTGATTCAGCAATGAATTGCATATGCTCATCATCAATTGGACCTTCAGTCGAATTGTATGTTCGTGGTAGTCTTAAAGTCAAGATGCTGGCACATGAACAGTCTATTTATTTACTTTTTGTGCCTCCTGTTGCATCTTCAAGATGGCGGCGGCGTTTTCTGTCGCTCCGCCCCCAAGCGGCGCATTAGCGCTGTCCTGCTCGATACCGCGAGCGATTGTAAACATTCGGGCGCATCCGTCCCCCGCCCCGCGCTCCGCAGTTGCAACACGCATGTGCAACACATCAAGGCTGCAGCTATTGATTGGGTCCAACATGGCCGTCCTTTGTCTATTAAATAAATTTACACGAACATTTTGTAAATTATTACAATATGCAGAGTAAATGACCGACTTCAGCAGAGGTCCAACATAAGCTCCGCCCACTTGTTGAAGCACAAGCACTTGTTGTAGTTTATGTACGTGTTTCGGTGTTTTAATATACGGACAACAGCACGTCAATGCAAACATTGTGACATCTTGTCCAGTTGTAATAGGTGTTTGTTTATAAATGGATATTCTGATGTGCTGTCTGTACTAGTTGTTTATCTAATAGGTGTACTCTTAAATGATAGGGTTTATAGCTCCTTTTGTGCCATAAGTGTTCATGCCGCACACACTCACACGTAACGCTCATAGGAATACGCCATTTTGTGGGGGTGTAAGGGAGAGAGGAGGGGTATGCTGTATTATTGATACTCTATCACTGGCTCATAAATCTATCGAGCTGTCTGGCCGGGCCGCGCTTCCCGCGCATGCCCGGCGGACAGCGCCAAGCCCGGGCCGGTGCCGCAGTCGGATCGTACCCTGCCTCGAGCTCAGTTGCATCGGTCACTAATGGCAGATATTCATTAAAAAATTATAAACCAGTGTCTCGTTGGCAGCCGCAAGTGATAGTGCTCAAAACCGCAAATCAAAGACTAGTATGTTCAATCCCAAAGTAATACGAAACTAAAATTCGTGTGACATTAGTGTAGATTTTGAAGAAAAGTGCAAAAAATCGTTCGTGAATAAATAAAGTAAATAAATAAATAATCAAATATTTAAACTCGGAAGATTCTAGTTGCACAAATTGAGCCAGCAGTGTTACGTTTCTTTTTTTACATTTGAGTTTTTTCCATTAACCTCATCGATCTCCAGAAACCCACCCAGATTGCATCCCGCCCCACCCCCGGCTTCCTCCCACTGCATCCTACCCCCACCTCGTCCCTCCCTGCCAGATCTACCTGGCCCGGCAATCAATAACGCATCCCGCACTTTATACCCATGTGCAGTATGACACTGCCTGCGCCACCGAAACTTCAATCTTATTTCAATAAGAACACAACAATAATCATTATAATAGTAATGTGAAAGTTTACACAGATCAGTGAAAATAATAATAGCTAAGAAACATCCTACACAGTCTCTAAAAGATGTGCAACACTTAGTTCCTGTCACTATGTAAGCAATTATTTATTGATTTTTTTATACTATATTAATTTTAACATCAAGCTTGGCGAAATTAATACCGCTGGCGTTGTTTTTTTATTATTGTTATGAATTTTATAGATCACCGGTTGATTCTTATTACACACTCCCGTTTTTTAGAGGTGCATGGAAAAATAACAAATCATTGAATTGTCTAATCGTATGGTGCTTTGTTAAGACAACCCTTTTTTAATGAGAAAATATTATACTCACTTTGATAAATTTAAAAACCATTCTTCCGTACTTAAAACTAGTGGTCCGCACGGCTAGAAAAAGATTGCCCTTCCCAATACATTCCTTCCTTATTTCGAATTAATTTCACGTGTATCAGTGTTTTATCAATTAGTCTCAACAACGTAAAATCTATTAATTTTGAAGCAATAAAAATATGACCACCCAAAATTCTTCCTCAGAAGATAATGAATTAGAAGGTAATAATACAATTATGGTTTTGAATTTAGTCCAACCTTGACAAATGTAACCTATTATTAAGCATGATGTTTATTATTTTTCAGACGACTGCTACGCATTCGTAATGGACGAACATATCTTGCGACGCGAGCTGCGTCAGGTAGAAGCTGCTTTCTTGCAGAACTGCCGGACACAAGCGCTGGGCATATATGGATCGAACTATCAGCGAAGCATTCGCAACAAAGATGTAGAGTCAGACCAAGAGAAGCAATCTCACAAGCAAAAGCTTTTGAGATCTCCGTCTTCATTTCGCTCGCCACCGCGGTCTCAGTCGCCCTTGTCGTCGGGGCCCAAATCGCCCTCGCAAATACGTTCGGCTTCGCCCGGATTTGGTAGTTCGCCGGAGGACTCCAGCGACTTCAGCGAGGAAGACACGGACCGTTCAAACTCACCAATAATACGCGACGAGAAAATGTCTAGCGACGAAAACGAGCAAGAAACTCACGATTCTGAGAAACCTGTATTTCGATCGCTCTAAACTGACCTCCGAGAATGCTGCACGACACAATGACGAACACGCTAACGCACGAAGATTAACTTGATCGGCTCTTGTTTACGGTTTCTATATGTTTAGAGGAGTCTTCGATTATATCCAACGAAGATCCTCCCGTACTCGTAGTATAATAATATGTGTGGCGAGGAACCAGTCCTTAATATCTAATAAATTCAATATTAAGTGTTACATATTATAATTCATAATGACAAGTGGCATGTCATGGCGCGTCATCCGAAGGGAGAATAAAACGGTGTAATCAGTATTCGATAAAACTTTTGGATTGTCAAGATCTGGGAGATGGAAACCGAGCGTTTGGTGCGAAGTGGTGGTGGACGGCTCTACTGAGATCCTGGGTTCACTGAATGCAGCGGATTAATGTGGAAGAGTGATGATGTTGAACGTTGCCTAGTGACATGTTTTGACGCGTCGTTATGGGGACAAGAGAACTAAACTTTAGGTTAAGTGTTTATAGTGCCATGTGACACTGATACAGTAGTGAAAATTTAAAATAGTGATTAAGGTTTATTAATCACGTATAATATTATATTCTTATCTTCTACATTAAAAATATATGAACTATATACACATTTCTTAATGGAAGGGGGTTTTGAGTGAGAAGTGTGTTTCTTCAGTAATGTCTCAACCCCAGTAGGCTTAAGTGGACTTGTAACAACACTAATTAGAAGTGTTTCTTATATAAAAATCAATGTTGTTAATTTTACATAAAATATTTTAAGCCTGTTTTGGAGTCATGCTTACGGAAATTATATTTTAATTAAGTTCATTTGGCGAAATCAGATCTGTTACCGGTTGAAAACCTTTATAAGGCATTGACAGTGTAGTTGCATTTCGAACCTTATCCTGTTAAATTGAGGTCGAAAAACAATGAACATGTTAAAACTTGCTACGTCTTATAAAGAGTTAAAGTTGAAATTGATATTATATTATTGCTCTTATCAGAATCGCGTCTCCGCTCCTGAATTCTTTGCGAGTGAGGATGACAGATTGAAAAAAGCTATCAAAATTGCAACCTTTCATTAGCGACAGGTAACTCCGGTCTAAACTTTGGCATATTCTCCAAAACCTAGCCACGCGCAGCTGTCATCGTCAACCGCAAGGGTGCAAATCTATTCGTTCGTAAGAATATTTGTAATGCCATTGTAACTTTACAACAGTAACATAATAATGTGCACTTGATGAACTATTTTCGTTAAAATCGTTAACCCAGAAGCAAGAATGAACAATCGCAACACACGAGTCGGTCGTACAACTCGGCAGATGGACGCGCTCATGTAAGAATCGCCAATCACCTCTCTCGGCACTCGCGGGCGGTCCGTGTGAAGATGGCTCTTCTGAACATCAAGACCTGACTATGGTCACCAGGTGGTAGTACTGTATAATTCCTCAGTGCCAGTACGTCTGGGTGGGTACCACCGCTCTGCCTCATACAGTCAGCGTCAAATAGTTCGTGGCACCCCGAACAAGCCAAAAAGTTCGCAAAACGGCTTTGTTAACAACGTATTAAAGTTGTGTTTTGATGTTACGAACTATTTGATGCTCACTGTACCAGTTTCGGTTGCACGCTCTTGTGGACAGGCACCGACCGGCAGGGTAGCCAGGCACGACAGCTAACATCTGAATCTGTCTCAGTTGGTCAACATCTGGATTGTAACCACTACGAAGTGGTCATGAAACTAGTAATAGTTTCATTTTTTAATTTTGTTCTTGTAGTTCAGACTTGATGTCTAAGTAGTTTCAAAAGGGTGAGAGAGAGGTACAGTGCAGCGGTTCATGAAGTCAGCGTTATTATTTTTTCCATTAAACTTCTCTATACAGTCTGTTAATTCTATAAACTATTTCCACTATACCTTTGGCGCAAGTGGTTTCTCCAAAACACAATGGCATTGCACGTGTTTTAACGCGAGTAGGCTATAGTATAGTTAGTTGCATATAATATATCCTTTTGTAAACAGTCTTACAATGAAAGTTTATCATATTTGAAATACTTACCAGAGTGATTTGTATTTGTATTTTTCGACTGCTATTTAAAACAAAGACAGACTTTTGTGATAACTGATTTACAACTGTTTTAGCAAAGAATTTATGTTTATTTTGCATTTTAAAATTGTATCAATCATAATGTTTCTTATATTGCATTTATTGGTAGTATTAAGCGACAGAGTCATATGGACTCCTAGGTAAGAAATGATTAAGCCTATAATAGGCCATATATTTAGATTAGTCATCCCACTGCAGGCTCTAGCCTTGCCAAAATTGGGGAGTCCGATATTTCAATGCCAGAAGTAGTTTGTGAGCCTGGGCAGCTTAGTTGTAAGAATTATGTGACAGGACTTGGACTGATACCATGCAATGTAATGCAAAGAAATGTAGTTTGTATAATATACCTGGAAGTGGTGCCAAGAACGAAGTGGGACGTTGTGGAACAGTTTTTTCAAGTGTAGTGTCTATTTAACGGATAAACGATTCTACAGCCGATTCGATGGACATATTAGTAGTTTTGTAGTTTTAGAAAAATGTAGTTTTAAGGTTCGCATCGCAAAGATGTTTGAAAGCGCGCATCAGCAATAAGCAGTGGCAACTATGCGGGGTATGAAGTATTCGCCCGCGGTATGAAGCTTGCATCGGAGCGGGGGTAGGGGTCGCGGGCTGTCCCCGCCGACGCGCCGCGGCAAGTTGGTTCCGAGGCAACGCAGTGACAGGATAGGCCGTTCGTCTACCCCGTTGGAAATGACAACCTTTTCGATCAATCAATTAGTTAAACGCCCGTTGAACACTTGTTTGAATTATTACATTTTGAACCAATGTTCAACGTGTGTTTAAACGTTTGGTAATAAGACCTCCAATATTTTAATGCTGATACTGTCTAAGGGTGTGCGTGTAATTGGGTGGCTTCTCGGCGCGGTCGCCTGTTGCTGAAACTAGCACCGTGCATTGTAGCGCTGCTAGTACAATTTCGATAGAGCGGGTGTATTGACGATTGATGATATACTACCTACCCGCATTACGCAGCGCTGCTCTGAATTTACATGTAACAACCAAACGGCGCGCGAGCGACCGTATCAGGAACCCGCTGAATGCGGCGGGCGCCCTTTAAGTACCTACTTAAACTCAATCAATGGTTGTATTTTTCAAAATTCTTGTTGTAATTCTCTTTACCATCCTGTCGCTGTTAATAACGGAACCAACGGACTACACGGTCGCGGTGTGAGAGCGGTCGCGACACTGCAGCGGCCCCGCCGAACCAACTCGCTCGTGGAGTGGCCGACAAAATAATGTGGCATTGTTTTATTAAGGTTATATACGTCTCAATACGTATTTTGTTAGTCCTAAGGATCTCTATTATGCTCAGTAGTCATTTCCTTGTATTGTAATAGCAAAACCACATACTTGAAACCAAAATTGAGAACTATCAACGTAACAAATTATAATAGTGTTTATATTCCGATATTATGCATGCATTTAATCACATTATTTGATAGTTTTAAGGATTAAAAGATCCTAATAATCCAGTATATTAACCTATTTGTAGTCTTATACTACTTATTTATTCAAATTATTGTATTAATAGTTAAGGATATATTATAATGAGAAAGCTGCCCAGCAGCGCGGCATATTGTTGTCTTTGCAGCTGCCCAGGGCTCTGGTATAATTATATTGTAGGATTTAGCAGCTGTTTGCAGCTGAGCTGCTTATCACTATTCACCGCATGTGCTAAGCGATAGTAGATAGTCTAATATATACTGTCTCAGTATATCTGGAGTACACAGAGCCCCGATTACGGTAACTTTTAACGTCTACAATCCAGACACGCTTCATCGATTCTGCGATACGATTGGTCAAAACAGCTGACGTACGCTGTTTACCTACGCTGGCGTACGTCAGCTGTTTTGACCAATCGTATTGCAGAATCAGAAACGCGTCTGGATTGGAGACGTTAAAAAATACCGTCATCGGGGCTCAGTAAGGTGCCGCCGCACTTCGATGTGGGAGCACGTGACTTGGTCTTTCGCCTCACTATAGTCGCGAGTGTGCCCGGCCCTTATGCTCTCATGCGCACAAGCGCTGGTGTGTACCTATGTACCCTTGCATTTCATACACTACTCAAGTTGCGCTTGATGTGTAGATTTGAGTCAACATAAATTTCAATTGATATTTGGTAAATTTGAAAAGGATTTAATGTAATTTTATAAAGCAGGCGTTCACAGAAAAAATCTATTTACGAAGGCATTGGGAGCCTCAAGCCCATACATAGATGCGTACGTTTCTCAGTAATGCATAACTTCATGGTCATCTGTATCTATAACAAGAAATGTAAACCATTGGTCAATATCGGGAGTTCAAGCCAGTGCAAAACTTTTGGCAATAGGGTCAAAGCAAGATAGATTGTTCCCGACAGCTCATAACTCCTGTTCACTGTGTAATAAACAGCTTCAGTATACAAAAGTCAAGCGCAATTTGGGATGTATCATTATATTTACTCAATTTTTAGATAAGACAATTACATGTTACTCTACCTTAGATAAGTATATTATAAATCTGTGGTTTATGGTCTCCACAGTGCTGGCAATTAGGTTAAATAAATCGCGGGTCGCATTGGTCGCAGACTAATATGTATCTTAATCAAAATATAATAAGGTTTACTGTTTCTATAGCACAAATATATTTTGTGACTTTAGACATCTGTATGTCATGATTATTAAGAATTAGAATTTAGGACCTTGTAAAAGTGGGAATATGCATGAAAATGTATTGACACTTTATACAATTATATTAATCGGAGTATACCAACTAAGAATTTATTAATATAGAAAAGTATTAATCTCTTAAAATAAGTACTTGTGTCAACTAATAGCGCCAGTGTAATCTCTCACTTTCGAGACGATGCACATCTATACCTATTCTTGTATTTCACATATCGACTTGATTATCCCTACTGAAATAATTTTCGAAATTAACAATTTGGCAAGAATTTGGATATTTAAGTATTTTTTTAAACTCTAAACTAATTATTGCATATTCCCTTTTAAAAAAACTCAAACTGTATTTTTTCTATCTTAAGTATTAACATGTGAGACTGTAAAACAAAATCCTATGTAGTTTTCGAAAGATCCTTTTAAGTCCGCACCTAACGGGCGAATATATCAAATCATTTTTTGGAGCTTATCTTTGGTCCCAAACTATGTTATATTTTGTGAGATCCCCTTTTCAACTTTATACGTACTATGATGAATGTACTATGTGTATTTCGGTGTAATTTAGTAAATGTTGTGATAAATATTCAGTTGTTGTTTTATTGCTACTTTAAATTATCAGTCAAAGGCCCGTATTACGAAACGACGCTAAAAACTAGATCCATGTGTTTTGTTTTGTTGCACTTTTATATTTATAACTCACAATCGTGGGTAGAATTTAAGATGATTGTGTTTTGAGAGTATAGTTTTTAATACGGACTTTTAGCCATCATCATTAAAAGCTTTGACAGACGGCAGATGTCGTTGATGTCATCCATCCACCGAACTCCTGTAAAAATCTTAAAACCAAAAGCATAGCGATTGTTTTAATTAACATAGTCGTATCAAAATGTTCACACAAATGCTCTATTAATACATTACACAGAGATTTAAAACACTTTATATGGATGAAACTGATTCTTCAGAGCTGTAAGTAGCAAATATTATCTAAACAATAAGTATCTAGCTCACACCAGTACACCTTACTGAAGAAATAGCTAACAATAGTGACGTGAGTAACTGCTGTTCTTCGTAGCTGCCTTAAACTAGAATACTAGGGCACTATTTAAGTTGTGAGCCTCGACAACATAACGTGTTGTTAGACGACATCTGATACTTTTAATGAAAAGTTTGACATTTTTGACTACAACCTTATTCAAAACTTTTTATCATTTGAGCACGTTTTGTATTATTAACATTGAATTGAAAATTATCTTGACTACAAAAACATGGAATTGACTTGCGGAAATTTTCGCGCGAAGATTTATTATGACTTTCGACGTGGTTAATCAATACAAAACTGAAGCGGTCAGCTAAATTTCACTTTTGGTGATAAAGATCTATCCTTTACCATTGTAAAACGCTAGATTAAGAAGTATAATATTTTATGTCATTGGCTCACCAGTGAACTTTGCGAAAGTCGTCCAAAATGACTAATTGTGGCGGAAAACATTGATGTTGTCAGAAAAATGGAAGAAAAACCTCGTCATGTGATATATCGTAGGATTGAGATAACCCTAGGCATTAATTCCACTAGCAGTAATAAAATATTGTATGACCATATTATGGTTAATACGTTTTTTTCTCACTGGATGTCACAAAATTTTTCAAACGCTCAATAGGACACTTGTGTCGTTTAGTCCTTGGAATAGTTTGATAAATACGTTTAAAAAGCTTTAAAAGCCGTTTTTAAAATTGTGACAGTTGACGAATTAAGGATCTATGCATAATAATCCTGAAAATAAACAGCTATCGACTATGGAGGTGTTTTAAGATGAACCAATTCCAACAAAAGTCCCATGCGGTCGGAACACTTTGAAACTTACGGTCGCCTATTTTTCCGAAATATCCGATTATGTGACTAAAACGTCACTAGAGAAATTTAGAATGGTTAATTCTTAATAGTAAACAGCCACTTTTTTTCCAAAAGTCTTCAGTTTAATAAGGGGAACTGACCAGCATAGTCGAATCGCCATTCGTGACGAAAATGTGAGCTTTTACACGTCTCGTCAAACAACTGACTATTTGAACACTCAAAATATGAAATAAACAGGTCCAACGCTACAAAATTCTTGCTTGGAATCTAAACACTTCTTTTGGTACCCGTATATTAAAATTAAATGCGTGAACAGCGATTTATGTAGCCAGAAGCAACTGTCGGTGCGGTCGAAAACCATGCTTTGGAGGTGCCTCAAGCTGAGTGGAAAAAATGATATGAAAAGTATTTCGAACACAGTAAAAAGTACATAAATCATGAAAGACAATACCAATAAACGCAATCAATACAATTTTAATAATAAATAACTTTGTTTTCATAGTTAGGCTCACAACTTAAATAGTGTCCCACGTACTAGAATAGGATCAGCGTGGAAAGTGTAGGGAAACTCCTATTTGTCTCTGGTAAATTAGTGAGGGTCGTGCTCCTGCCTAGATCCCAGCTCGGTGTCTCAAGACCAAAGTCTTTGACCAGTGTGTGTTGCCAGTGATGGTATATGGATCTGAAACGTGGTCGCTCACTATGGGCCTCATAAGAAGGCTCAAGGTCACCCAAAGGGCAATGGAGCGAGCTATGCTCGGAGAAATGAGGAGATCCGCAGGAGAACCAAAGTGACCGACATAGCTCGCAGAATTGCTAAAATCAAGTGGTAGTGGCGGAGCATATAGCTCATAGAGACGATGGCCGTTGGGGCAGAAAAGTTCTCGAGTGGCGACCACGGGCTGGAAGACGTAGTGTGGGCAGGCCTCCTACCAGGTGAACCAACGATCTGGTGAAGTTCGTGGGAAGAGCCTGGATGCGGGCAGCGCTGGACCGTTCATTGTGGAAAACCTTGGAGGAGACCTATCCCCTGGGACGACTCAACCTACACTGTTTGGGTTTCACTGGAGGACAAATTGAAAATATTGGCTGTGCAAAGGTACATGAGCTAATAGCGCTACTATGGAACACGGACTGAGTCCGTGGGTCTCTGTCAAATGGTTAAAGCGGAGGGAAAGAAAGGTGGGATTAGTCCCGATAAAATAAATAAAAATAAAATGTTTTGGACCTCTTAAGTTGTTCGGTGTATCATAGTTTGTGAGCCAATAAAACCCAACCAGTGAAGATAGAGTCCTGAAGATAACTGACTGTCTAGAACCTGTGACGAATTTAATCAGATAAATACAGATCAAAATTCAAGTAACATGAGGTTCATGGAAATGAAAGATGCAAATGGATTGTAAGTAAAGAGTAACCAAGAGTCGCTGAAGTCGAGTGAGAGAGTTGCTGCTGCAGATCACTTGAAAACTTAGGGGCCAAGAATCAAACCACACATGACCAGAGGGTCTTACCAGCTCTCAGGAACTAAGCTTTGTGCAAAGTCGATGCCCACAGCAATGAGACAGTACCCAATGAAATGCTTATTCCCTTTCCTGTTCTTGTTTCCTTTCGTCCACTGCTGGACAGTGGTCTTCTTTAAAGGTATCCTTCAAATAAGTATTTCATTCGCAAGTTGTGTGACGCTAGAATATTTTGTAGGACAAATAGTATGATGTCAAACATAATGGAGAAAAGGCTACCAACACTATATTAGTAATGTCCTTCTTGATAGATACGATAGTAGTGATAGTGAGATGCAGCTCATCAGAATAATTTAAACAGCAACACAACATCCAAACTTAATTTAACCACCCTGTGTAGCTTCCGCTAATAGAATTAAGTTAGTATTGTTGAGTAAGTCCAATATTTACAGTTTACAAAGAGGTCATCATCATCATCATTTAAGCCACAGGACGTCCACTGCTGACCGTACTACGAGTAGGTCAAAGAGAGATCACTACGTAAATTACAATCAAGTAAAAGTGTGTTATTATGCCTATTACTACTTACGAATTACAATAGTAAAAAGAAACCCCATTCCAATAGCATACCTATCTGTATTGCAATTCACATTCGCCTGCATTCTGCAGCAAATCGGTACCGATGCGTTACTACTGC